CTGATCAACATATTTCATTGCCAAAATTTAATGCCATGGGGCAGGCGAGGTGGCTCACGCCTGTAATCCTAGCACTTTGGGAGGCCGAGGTGGATCACTTGAGGTCAGAAGTTCAAGATCAGCCTGGCCATCATGGTGAAACCCCACCTTTAAAAAAAAATTAAAAAATTAAAAATTAAAAAATGTAATGCCACTAAAGTTTTAGATCAGCTACACTTGAACGATTTAAATATTCTACGAACAATCAAAAAACAGCCTTAAATTGATTAAAATAAACTCTCATTTATAAGTGAACTACAAACTAACAGGCTTTGAGTTGTTTTAACATTAGATGCCTCCAGATTTATTATTTTTTTTTTTTACAAATTAGGTGTTAGTGGAAAATGGTTTTAACAAAAATCGCAGAAGGTAGTATTTAAGAACAATGAAATTCCCCTGATGTTAAAAAAGGCTTATTTGCATAACTTATACACTTTTACCCCCCATGAGCCACCAAGCAAAAATAAATTTTCCGATACATGTAATGTTAATACTACAAAGCTATTCTCAATGACCAAGAAAAACTTCCTCTGAGAACATTTAAGATAAAATCACCCTGGTTTTCACAGTATTGTTTAGAAAAGATAATGAATATTTCATAGACCAACTCACTGTTGTATCACTAGACTATTTTATTTATTTTTCTTTTACTAGCCTGCTTTAATAATTTCACAATTCTTGGCTGGGTGTGGTGGCTCATGCCTGTAATCCCAGTACTTTGGGAGGCTGAGGTGGGAGGATCATGAGCTCAGGAGTTCAAGACCAGCCTGGCCAACATAGTGAAACCCGTCTCTAATAAAAATACAAAAAATTAGCCGGGTGTGGTACCAGGTAACTGTAATCCCAGCTAATCTGGAGGCTGAAGCTGGAGAATCATTTGAACCTGGGAGGCAGAGATTGTAGTGAGCAGAGATCATACCACTGCACTCCAGCCTGGGCAACAGTGCAAGACTTCGTCTCAAAAAATTAAAAATAAAAATAATTTCACAATTCTTTACAATTTGAGATTTAGTAAAAACAATAACAACAAAAACACAAAGGATATATAGCTTTCTTTTCTTTTTTTCTTTTTATTTATTTATTTATTTATTTTTAAGATGGGGTTTCACCATATTGGTCAGGCTGGTCTGGAACTCCTGACCTCAGGTGATCTGCCCACCTCAGCCTCCCAAAGTGCTGGGATTACAGGCATGAGCCACCGCTCCCAGCTTAACTTTCTTTTCATTCTTTTTTTTTTTTTTTTTTTTTTTTTTGAGACAGATCTTGCTCTGTCACCCAGGCTGGAGTGCAGTGGCACAATCTCGCTAACTGCAACCTCTGCCTCCCAGGCTGAAGCCATCCTCCCACCTTAACTTCCCAAGTAACTGGGACTATAGGCATGTACCACCATGTCTAGCTAATTTTTTTTCTAAGTTAGTAAAGGCTTCCAACTAATTTTTAAAATTATTTTTTGTAGAGGCGGGTTTTCACCATGTTGCCCAGGCTGGTCTCAGATTCCTAGACTCAAGTGATCTGCCCTCCTCAGCCAGTGTTTTTGTTTGGTTGGTTGGTTGGAGTTTTTTGTTTTGTGGTTGTTGTTTTGTTTTGTTTTGTTTTAGATTAGCTTTTGGCCAAGCAAGGTGGCTCATGCCTGTAATCCCAGCACTTTGAGAGACCAGATGGCTTGAGGTCAGAAGTTGGAGACCAGCCTGGCCAACATGATGAAACCCTGTCTCTACCAAATATATAAAAATTAGCCAGGTGTGGTGGTTCATGCCTGTAATTCCAGCTACTCGGGAGGCTGAAACAGGAGAATCACCTGTAGTCCCAGCTACTTGGGAGGATGAGGCAGGAGGATAACTTGAGCCCAAGAGTTTGAGGCTGCAGTGAGCTATGATCATGCCACTGAACTCCAGCCTGGGCAACAGAGTGAGACCCTGTCTCAAAAAAATAAATTAATAACTATATTTGCCCCCCAAAACAATATTAGTGAGAAAAGTGTCACTGTGTATGTTACATTTTTTCCAAATCTCTTTCATGTCTGGCTTAACAGAAAACACCTGGATTCTCATATCTGATTCTGCTGTCAATCTGTTGCAATATCACATGTCATGGAGCCTCATGGAAAGGTCCACTGAACATTCATGAGAAGAGTGAACATGAAAAAGGGCAAATACAATCTTAATATTATTATGAAAATAGTTTTGGTCTCATGGCCCAGACAACTCTTTGAGAATCACTGCCCTAGAGAACTCAAGTGCATGTATGAAATGTTCTTTGTAGTATTGTTTGTTATAATGAGAAGGTGGAACCAATCTATCATCAGTAAGGGACCATAAGATCCATGGGCACTGCATTGGTGTTGCTTTGCTCACCATTGTATTTCCAGTAACTTAGCACATATTAGCACACACTAGGTGCTCAGTCAACTTGAGAGAGGCAGAAAAGAAGAAAGTAAGGAGGTACAAATACTGTTCTGCAACCTGCTATTTCAATTTAACTCTGTCTCATGGACATCTTTTCACAGATTTAGACTCTTAGTTATAGGATAGGAATGCATGAAGGCCATGGTACTCTTGCATAATAGGAAACATTTTTCTATTGTCTAAAACTAAAGGCGTATTTAAGATGTCTTTAATATAACCAGGGGCTGCAAATCACTGCCACCTAGTGGCGTACTAAGAAGTTCACACATGGGGGCCTGGCGCAGTGACTCAGGCCTGTCATCCCAGCATTTTGGGAGGCTGAGGTGAGCGGATCACTAGAGGTCAGGAGTTTCAGACCAGCCTGGCCAACATACCTAAATCCCATCTCTACTAAAAATACAAAAATTAGGGCCGGGCGCGGTGGCTCAAGCCTTTAATCCCAGCACTTTGGGAGGCCGAGGCGGGTGGATCACGAGGTCAAGAGATTGAGCCCATCCTGGTCAACATGGTGAAACCCCGTCTCTACTAAAAATAAAAATTAGCTGGGCATGGTGGCACGTGCCTGTAATCCCAGCTACTCAGGAGGCTGAGGCAGGAGAATCGCCTGAACCCAGGAGGCAGAGGTTGCGGTGAGCCGAGATCGCGCCATTGCACTCCAGCCTGGGTAACAAGAGCGAAACTCTGTCTCAAAAAAAAAAAAAAAATACAAAAATTAGCCGGGCATGGTGGTGGGTGCCTGGAATCCCAGCTACCTGGGAGGCTGAGGCAAGAGAATTGTGTGAACCCGGGAGGCGGAGGTTGCTGCAGTGAGCTGAGATCACGCCACTGCACTCCAGCCTGGGCAACAGCGCAAGACTCCATTTCAATTAAAAAAAAAAAAAAAGTTCACACATGGGGCCAGATGTGGTGGCTCACACCTGTAATCCCAGCAATTTAGGAGTCTCAGGCAGGTGGATTGCTTAAGATCAGCAGTTCAAGACCAGCCTGGCCAACATGGCAAAACCAAATTTCAATAACAATACAAACATTGATGTGGTGTGGTGGCATGCGCCTGTAATCCCAGACATTTGGGAGGCTGAGGCAGGAGAATTGCTTGAACCCGGGAAGTGGAGGTTGCAGTGAGCCAAGATCACACTACTGTACTACAGCCTGGGTGAAAGAACAAGACTTAGTGCTAAAAAACAAAAGAAAGAAAGAAAGAAGAATTTACCAAAAAAAAAAAAAAAAAAAAAAAAAAAAAACCCTAAAAATAAAAATAAATAAATAAAAAGTTCATACATGGGATTAGGCACCATTGGCTCACACCTGAAATCCCAGCAGTCAGGGAGGTCAAGGACAGTGGATCACTTGAGCTCAGGAGTTCGAGACCAGCCTGGGCAACATGGTGAAACCCCATCTCTAATTTTAAGAGAAAAATTAGCCAGGCATGGTGGTGGTGCACGCTTGTGGTCCCAGCTACTTGTGAGGCTGAGGTGGGAGAATCACCTGAGCCTGGGAGGTTTCAGTGAGCCAAGATCATGCCACTGCACTACAGTCTGGGTGACAGAGTGAGACCATGCCTCAAAAAGAAGGAGGAGGAGGAGGAAGAGAAGAAGAAGTTGTTCATACATTCACACATTACGGGCAAAATGCCCTTTACTGATTTTTGAGTTTGTTTTTGTTTTTGTTTTGAGATGGAGTCTCATTCTGTCACCCAAGTTAGAGTACAGTGGCACAATCTCTGCTCACTGCAACCTCTGCTTCCTGGGTTCAAGCGACCCTCCCACTTTAGCCTCCCGAGTAGCTGGGACTACAGGCGCCCACCACCAACCCTGGCTAATTTTTGTGTTTTGTTTTGTTTTGTTTTGTTGAGACGGAGTCTCGCTCTGCGTGCGGTGGCACAATCTCGGCTCACTGTAACCTCTGCCTCCTGGATCCAAGCGATTCTCCTGCCTCAGCCTCCCAAGTAGCTGGGTTTACAGGCACACGTCACCATGCCCAACTAGTTTTTGTATTTTTTGTAGAGACAGGGTTTCACCATATTGGCCAAGCAGGTCTCAAATGCCTGGCCTCATGATCCGCCTACCTCAGCCTCCCAAAGTGGCTTATCAGGATTTTTAAATCAAAGTGTAAACACTTTGGCTTTTCTTTTTCTTTTTTTCTTTTTTCTTTTTTCTTTTTTTTTTTTTGAGACGGAGTTTCACTCTTGTTACTCAGGCTGGAGTGCAATGGCGCTGATCTCTGCTCATGGCAACCTCCGCCTCCTGGGTTCAGGCAATTCTCCTCCCTCAGCCTCCTGAGTAGCTGGGATTACAGGCACGTGCCACCATGCCCAGCTAATGTTTTGTATTTTTTGTAGAGACGGGGTTTCACCATGTTGACCAGGATGGTCTCGATCTCTTGACCTTGTGATCCACCCGCCTCAGCCTCCCAAAGTGCTGGGATTACAGGCTTGAGCCACTGCGCCCGGCCACTTTGGTTTTTCTTATCCCTATACCTGTCCAAAGAGCTGTCTCATTTTCCGGTAAAAACAAAAACTAACAAAATATCTTTTCTTTCCAGAAACGACATCTCTCTCACCTGATGACTTTTACTAACTTGGCTCTCTTCTTCTATCCCAATATGTAATTCAAGCTGACCAATCAAAGTACCTCATCAGTTGGATACAGTGATTGGTGTAGGATTGAGCATGTTATCTAAGCAGAACCAATCAGAGTCATTTTTTACTCTGTAATTGCTATAGTCTCCTTTAATCTTGAAGACCGAAACCTATCTCCAGATGGAAAACTCTAAGAAGTCAACACAGAGAAAAGCAAAACTGAAAGATGGAGAGAACAAAAGGAATCCTGATGATGGTGTTTCAATCCCTGAACTCTAGCCTTTTCTGAAGCCTTTCCTGCTACTTGAGCCAAGTGATGCCCAAGTTAGAGTTGGGTTTCTATTACTTCATTGTCCTTCATCCACCTTTCTCTCCAAGGATAACTGGATTCCGAAAAGCCTTTACAGATCTTCCTGTGTGGGTCAACTCTTTCTTCTTAAGCAATCAGGGTGCCATGCACTCTCCAGTGTTACATTCACAAGTTATCATTTTATATTTATTCATGCAATTGTTTCAATGTATCCTCCACATGACTTCAAGTTCCCAGAGAATGCCTTGGGTTTTGCTCAACATTCATTGTAACACCAGTGCCTGGCACAGAGCCAGCACTCCATACATATTTGTAGACTGAATAAATTACGTAATGGCGTCCTGGCAGAGTCTGCGCAGAGGAGACAACTGAGCCGGTGGGAGGCGGCCAGGGGAGCTCGCGCGGATTGGCTGGAGGAGCGAGGGGATCGGCTGCGCAGGGCACGGGCGAGTAGACTCCAGTCTCCAGGAGCTGCGCGCTGAGAGTGCTCGCGAGGCCCCGGCGCGGTGTCTAAGATGGTGGCGCTAGGACCCGGAACCACGTGATAGACTCCGGGGCCCCTGACCCAGCAGGAGGCTGGGGGTGGCGTGGAGGTGAGACCCTGCTGGGTTCACAGAGCTGGGGGCCCCGGCGCCTGCGTCTTCCAGGAAGCGAGGAATGGAGCAGAGCTCTGGAGGCAGACCCTAGACTCCTGCTTCCTCTGGATGGGGAGAAGCCTGGGGGACCACAGGAGGACGTAGGCGCCGGGGTGCAAATGACTGGGCCTTCCTTGCCCTGGGCCGGCTCCTCGGTCTCGGTGTGCCCCGTCCCCTGACGCGTCCCCTTACTCTTGCCTGTTCCAGTTCCCTCCTGTGGGTACCGCAAACGGAATTTCCCCCACGCCCAGAATTCACCGTCAGACATAAATTGATCCTATTCCTCGCCCAACGCTGTGCCAGGTACATTTGTATATGTAACCCAATCTGGTTTCTGCATTCCAGGAGTGACAGAGCCCCGCTGGGGAGCCTAGACTAAGCCGCAGGAATGAACTGTATGGTTCAGATATGTTCTACTACTCAGTCTAAGGGAGGGATTTAGGTGGGCTGGTCTCTCTGTAAGGTTCTACATTCCTTTTAGGAGCAGCTTCAGAAGTCACTTCGTTTGAGAAGCCTTCCCAGATTGCCACCGAATCATTTTTAGCATCTAATTCATAGGCTCTTACTACCTTATTTCGTGTGTGTCTTACTCTAGGCATAGGCTTTTTGTTTAACATCACCTAATGCATGCCCATGAATGTGAATTTAAAAAGACTGACATAGGTAAAAGATACTAAGAACTGGGCATGAAATAGTAGTATTTCTTAAGCTAAAAAATGGTGGCCCCTGGGCTAGCTTTGAGTGTACACATTTTTTTTTGTTTGTTTTTTTTTGTTTTTTTTGTTTTTTGGCTTATGCTGTTTGTTTTTATTTCAATTAATGGACAGTTTTTGTTTTTTCTTTTTTTTGAGACAGAGTCTCACTCTGTTGCTCAGGCTGGAGTGCAGTGGCGCGATCTCGGCTCACTGCAATCTTTGTCTCCCAGCTTCAAGCGATTCTCCTGCTTCAGCCTGCCAAGTAGCTGGGATTACACCACCACAGCCAGCTCGTTTTTTACCATGTTGGCCAGGTTGGTTTCCATATCCTGACCTTGTGATCAACCCGCCTCAGCCTCCCAAAGAGCTGAGATTACAGGCGCGAGCCACTGCTCCCGGCCATGGCCAACATTTTTAAATTAGGAAATTTCTCACACACACTCAGACAAAATCTAGACTTCCAATATCTTAAATAATCAGAAGATCTGGGCAGCCAGGGCCCACATATTTGCATGATGTAATTAGCAGGGATTGAGTAGCAGCTCCTTCCTTCACACTCGGAGTCCCCAGTCCCCACTACTCTCCATTGTCTCCCTGACACTGAGGCAAAGTATAAGTTATCATTTATCATCTAGTTTGCTTCACTCATTATGCTTAACTGCCTGGTCTCTTGAAACTGTTTGAGTTTGAATCCAGACATAGGTGAAGGAGACTAGTAAAGGCATTACAAATAGGAGAGTCGTGACCAAAGGTACAGAAGAGAAGCAGCATAGCATATGGGAAGGGAATGGAGGATATCAAAGCATAGATTTGTTCTTAGGTGAACAGTACATAACACATGGCTATTATGGGTTGAACTGTGTCCCTCAAAAAAGGTATGTTGACTAGAGCAGGGCGTCTCAAATTTTAGGATCCATAAAAATCACCTGGAGTTTGTTAAACACAAATTGCTGGACCCTACCCTGAGGTCTGGGATAGTGCTTGAAAATCACATTTTTACCAAGATTCTGGGTGATGCTGATGTTGCTGGTGTGTGAAACATGTTTTATTTTATTCCATTTAATTTTATTATTATTATTATTTGAGATAGGGTCTTGCTCTGTCACCCAGGCTATAGAGCAGAGGTGAGATCATGGCTCACCACAGCCTTGACCTCCCAGGCTCAAGTGATCCTTCCATCTCAGGCTTCCCAGCCCATACATGCCACTACATCTGGCTAATTTTAAGAGACGAGGTGTCACTATGTTGCCCAAGCTGGTCTCAAACACCTGGGCTCAAGTGATGCTCCTACCTCGGCCTCCCACTACTGAAATTACAGGTGTGAGCCACCATGCCTAGTTAGATCACATTTTAGGTATCACTAATCTATTGTATGTCTGTCTTTAAAAATCTAGATTACAAGCCCCCTAAGGGCAGGGATTATCTTGTTCACCAGTGTATCCAGAACAGTGTCTGGACATTGTAGGTATCTTAATTTGTTCAGGCTGCTGTAAGTGTACCATAGACTGAGTGGTTTATAAACAACAGAAATTTGTTTCTCACAGTTCTGCAGGGTGAGGAACTAAAGATCAAGGTACCAGCAGATTTTATGTTTGGTTGAGGGCTTGGTTCATAGAAGGCTATCTTTTTGTGTCTTCACATGGCAGACAGGGCAGGGAGCTCTCTAGACCTCTTTTATAAGGGCATTAATACCATTCATGAGGGCTCTCCCACCTGCCAAAGGCTCCACCTCCTAATAACATCGCATCTCAGATTAGACTTCAACATATAAATTTTCAGGGGATAACAAACATTCAGTCTACACCAGTAAATTAATGATATCTATTTGTTAAATGAAAACTGGTCATATGGATAGAAATAGATAATAAGAAGGCCAGGCATGGCGGCTCACGCCCGTAATCCCAATCCTTTGCGAGGCCAAGGCAGGCAGGTCACCTGAGGTCAGAAGTTTGAGACAGCTTAGCCAACATGGTGAAACCCTATCTCTACTAAAAATACAACAATTAGCCAGGTGTGGTGGTAGGTGCCTGTAATCCCAGCTACTCAGTAGGCTGAGGCAGGAGAATCACTTAAACCTGGGAGGCAGAAGTTGCAGTGAGTCGAGATGGTGTAATTGCTCTCCAGCCTGGGCCACAGAGCGAGATTCTGTCTAAAAAAAAAAGCATGAAAAGAAAAGATTTTCAGGGATATTTAGTCAAAGGAAAGAGAGAAGAGTGCTAACCTACTCTTCATTTATTCAAGTTGGTTTTTTTTAGTAATTGAGCACCAGAACACTCTTTTTTTTTTTAGTTTTTTCTGTAACACAGCCTCAGGAGGTCCTAAGGAGATGTGTTACCAGAACAATCTTTTAAAAAGATGATTCTGATTATGTCAGATTATGCTTTAACACCTTCAGTGGCCCTTTGCATTCATGAAAAAGTCTTAACCCCATGGCCTGGTTGACAAGGAAGTCCATAATTAGACCATTACTGCACCAGCTTTCTCTTTTGCAGTCTTGAACTCTGGACTTCAGTTACATGGAACACTCATAAGTTCACCATAGGTTCTCTCACCTCCTGGCCTTTGTATATGCTGTAACCTCAGTCTGAAAAGTCCTTTTTCTTTTAGTCCAGTTATTTCCAATTGGTTTTTAGGCCTCAGCTTAGAAGCTACCTCCTTTAGGAAATTTCCATGCTTACCCCATTCCTGTGAGGTTCCACAGCACCCTGTGCTTATCCTTACTGAGCACCTAACCCATTTAATTGGCAATGTCTGTAACTGCCAACACAGACTCTTCAAGGACAGAGACCATCATCCTCATTTTGGCATTTTAACCACCTAGTATAATTGCTGACTCATAGTAGGGACTCAGTTAAAGAAGAAGTAAATACTAGAGAATGGAAGAGCGGAACTACAGTAAACAAAAAGAATCATTGAAAAGATAGGATAATGTGAGGTGATTTTCACCACGTGGTCTCACATTTTAAAGTTAGAGGCAAGACCATCTACTGAGACCAAGTTTATATAAGAAGTCATAGAGATTTAAAAAGAGAAGAGAAGGTATGAGTATCTGTTATTAACTTTCTATTGGGTGGTTATTGAGCAGCAATTTCTATTTCAGAAATTCAAGATACTGCAAGATGTGGCTGTGAATTAATCACAAAAGGATGCTGGGCTCCAGGCCTGTACTCAGTGGGATCTCTACAAAGAAGAGACACTAGATAAGGAGGCAGAGCTGGCCTCACTGGGTAAGGGCACTGAACTCTAACTTACAATCCATATACTCTGAGTTCTGTGAGTTTTGGTTGAAAAAACAAAAAACTATTTCTTCTATACCTCAAAGATGTCTGAACATTAAAAAAAAAAAAAAAAGAGAGAGAGAGAGAAGTTTTTCAAGAACTCAGTTGACTTAGAGATTCCCAGTTGCTTTGACTATTGGAGACAAGATGTTTTTGCTCTTTGTTGAAAGATATTTAGCCCCATCTGTGTGACATGGTAAAAGCCCCATAAAACTGCACACCTCAACCATACCTCGGCTTTCTATTGAAACTGCTCTCTGTGACCCTAATGTGCGAGGCAAGCAGTCCAAACCCATGCCATCTTGGCTTCTGCGACTTGTAATAAGTAACTAAGGTCTATAATTCCCACCACTACCCAGACAATGTGTAAACTAACATTTATCTTGACTTCTGTAAACCACTTAAGTAACAATCAGCGTGACAAAAGTCCCCTGGCTCTTGGAATGTCCGGAGCCCCTCACCCTCATCTCCGTCCAGGAGGTGATTTACAGAATCCAATAGCCCTCGGAATATCTGAAACCCTTCATCCCTATCCCCGCTCCTCACCCTCACCCCTGAGGTGGTTTTCGGGGCCACAGGTTGGAGAGATGAGAGTCCTTCGTGGCCGCCAGCAATAAAGACCCTGCAATTTGGCATACTTTTGTCTTGGTGTTGACTTTCTATGCTCGGTTCAGTAAAACATCTGTATAACTGGAAATTGACAACTCCTTGACCCTCCCTGAGTTTGCACTATCTCTGCCTTTCTAGTCGTATTAGAAACCAAGAGATGACCAAAACTAACTAAATTCATCAAACCTTCAATGGTACTCCTCTGGCTGGGTGCTGTGTCCCACACCTATAATCCTAGCACTTTGGGAGGATGAGGCGGGTAGATCACTTGAGGTCAGGCATTCCAGAGCAGCCTGGCCAACATGGTAAAACTCTCTCTACCAAAAATACAAAAATTAGCTGGCTCTGGTGGTCGGTACCTGTAATCCCAGCTACTCGGGAGGCTGAGACAGGAGAATTGCTTGAACCTGGAAGGCAGAGGTTGCCGTGAGCTGAGACTGTGCCACTAAACTCCAGCCTGGGCAACAGAGTGAGGCTCCATCTCAAAAAAACAAACAACAACAAAAAAAAACCCTATTCTTCTACCTCTGACCCTGTCTTCATTAACAGCACCATATCCCACCATTGCCTAAATCAGAAAACTGACCCCTCTTTCCCTCACAGGCAGTTACCATATTCTGTTAATTCTAGGTTCTCCCGTAGCAGATAGTGCTAACCTCATTGGTAGCACTAGTCACAGTATGTTACTATCCACTTACACATATATCTCCCCTCCATTAAACTGTAAGTTTCTGGAGGGCTGGGACTATATCTTACTTTCATCTTTGTATTCCCAGCATCTAGTACAATGTCTGGAACAAGGTAGGTGCTCAGTTAATGACTGTTAGATGAAAGAAATCAATGAATGAGCCAGGCACAGTGGCTCACATCTGTAATCCCAGCACTTTGGGAGGCCAAGGAAGGCGGATCACAATGTCAAGAGTTCAAGACCAGGCTGACCAACATGGTGAAACCCTGTCTCTACTAAAAATGCAAAAAAAAAAAAAAAAAAAAAAAATTAGGCAGGCAACTGTAATCCTAGCTACTTGAGAGTCTGAGGCAGGGAGAACTGCTTGAATCCAGGAGGTGGAGGATGCAGTGAGCCAGGATTGCACCACTCTACTCCAGCCTGGGCAACAGAGTGAGACTCTGTCTCAAAAAAAAAAAAAAAAAAAAAATCGCTGGGCCCGGTGGCTCAAGCCTGTAATCCCAGCACTTTGGGAGGCCGAGGCGGGTGGATCACGAGGTCAAGAGATCAAGACCATCCTGGTCAACGTGGTGAAACCCCGTCTCTACTAAAAATACAAAAAATAGCTGGGCATGGTGGTGCATGCCTGTAATCCCAGCTACTCAGGAGGCTGAGGCAGGAGAATTGCCTGAACCCAGGAGGCAGAGGTTGCGGTGAGCCAAGATCGCGCCATTGCACTCCAGCCTGGGTAACAAGTGCAAAACTCCGTCTCAAAAAAAAAAAAATCAGGGCCAGTTGTGGTCGCTCACGCCTGTAATCCCAGCACTTTGGGAGGCTGAGGTGGGTGGATCAGCTGAGGTCAGGAGTTCCAGCCTGGCCTACATGGCAAAACCTTGTCTCTACAAAATTACAGAAATTAGCTGGGCATGGTAGCACGCACTTGTAGTCTCAGCCAACTCAGGACACTAAAGCAGGAGAGTCACCTGAACCCAGGAGGCAGAGGCTGCAACGAGTCAAAATCACTCCACTGCACTCCAGCCTGGACAACAGAGCAAGACTTTATCTAAAAAAAAAAAAAAAAAAAAAAAAAAATCAATGAATGAGATGAAACACTGCAGTCCTTTTCCCAGAAACTGAGTTCAGCTGGGTTTTATTATAAAGGAGGACTCTCCTCTGATCAGGCCTATGTTTCAGATGCTGTACCCTTCTGCTCTTGACTTCTTTTGAGGGGAGGATTTCCTTAAAGAAATAAATCCTTTTCATCTATGGAATGAGAGGAAAAATTTGAGAAGTGTATTAGAAAAACATATTGTATTAGGGAAAAAAAATTTGCCAAGAAATAAGACTGGAAGAATATATATCAATACAACAAAACAAAACATTAGCAGTAATTATCTTTGGGTGGTGGAAGATGGGTGATTATTACTTTCTGTGCTTTACTCTGTTAATTTTTCTTACACTAAGCATGTAGAATTTTTGTGATCAATAAAATGTGTTATGGAAAAAGTGTTTCTCTGAAATTTTAAAAGATTCCCCCTCTAAAATTAAGGAAAAAAAGATTACAAAAGACATTAAGAATTTGGAGTCGGCCGGGCACGGTGGCTCAAGCCTGTAATCCCAGCACTTTGGGAGGCCGAGGCGGGTGGATCACAAGGTCAAGAGATCGAGACCATCCTGGTCAACATGGTGAAACCCCATCTCTACTAAAAATACAAAAAAATTAGCTGGGCATGGTGGCGTGTGCCTGTAATCCCAGCTACTCAGGAGGCTGAGGCAGGAGAATTGCCTGAACCCAGGAGTCGGAGGTTGCGGTGAGCCGAGATCACGCCATTGCACTCCAGCCTGGGTAACAAGAGTGAAACTCTGTCTCAAAAAAAAAAAAAAAAAAAAGATTTTGGAGTCATTTTTAAAATTATGTCAAATATTTATTAAATGTCCCTAGTTTAATTTAACATTCCTACTTTAGATGGTATCCACTGATTCCATCGTGAAAGACAGGTAAATTAGCACAATTTATACTTCTTCCACTACGATTTATACTTACTATTCCTCACAGCCCAATTTTTGTGATATAATTATTTTTACATTGTCATAGTTTAAAGCATTTACTTTCTCTTCTACAACCATAATTCCTAGTTAATCTTCTATGTTTAAATTGATTCAGTGCTTACCATCTGTAATACTGTGAAATAAATAGTTGGTCTTTGTCACCATTTCTTGGTGTCCTTAAAATCTTTAAAATCTTAAAATATTTAAAGTCTCCAAAGTATTATCTTTTTATATGCTAATGAGTTGACTGCTGTGGGGAGGGAGTAGATAGCTTGTGAATTAGAGTTGCAATTTTAAGCCCCACCCCCAACCTTTGGGGAGGAGAGAAGGACTGAAAATTACATTGATCACCATTGGCCGATGGTTTAATCAGTTATGCCTACTTAATGAAGCCTCCATTAAAACCCCAAAGGATGGAATTTGGAGCGCTTCCAGATAGCTTGACACATGGAGTTTCCTAGACAATGGTGTGCCCAGAGAAGGCATGGAAGCTCTCTGCTCCTCCTCCTACTACTTGCGTTGCCTTGTGCATCTCTTCATCTGTATCTTTTGTAATATCCTTTATAATAAACTGGTAAATGTTAAGAACATGTTTCCCTGAGTTCAGTGGCAGAGTTTGCCACTCTAGTAAATAATTTAACCCAAGAAGGGAGCTTGGGATCCCTGATTTTATAGCTGGTTGGTCAGAAGCACAGGTAAAACAACCTGGGACTTGTGATTGGCATCAGAAGGTGTGGTGCAGTCTGGTGAATTGAGTCCTCAAACTGTGGGATCTGACCCCATCTCCAGGTAGATAGTGTCCAAATTGAACTGAATTACAGAACACCTAGCTGCAGAATTGATTGCTTGCTTGGTGTTTGTAGGAAAACCCCAGAACATTTGGTCAGAGAGTATGGTGGCTCTGTAACCGCCCAGTGGGTTCACCTTGCCCACTGCCTAGATAAGAGCCGATTTATCAAAACGCAGGAATTTATCAAGACAGGGGAATTGCAGAGGAGAAAGTAATTCACACAGAGTTGGCTATGTGGGAGACTGGAGTTTTATTATTTCTCCCCAAGCATTCAGGGCTCTGAGTTTTTAAGGATAATGTGGCTCATACGGGCTCAGAAAGTGGGGAGTGCTGATTGGTCAGGTTAAAGATGAACTCATAGGGGACTAAAGTGAGTTCTACTTGCTGATTTACATTCCTGGGTGGGATTACAAAACTGGTTGAGCCAGATTATCTGTCTGGGTGGTGTCATTTGCTGCATCGGAATGCAGGGTCTGCAAAATATCTCAAGCACTAATCTTAGGTTTTGTAATGGTGATGTTATTCCCAGGAGCAATTTGGGGAGGTTCAAACTCTTCCAGCCAGAGGCCATATGGTTCCTAAATCATAATTTCTCATCTGGTAGCTAATTCGTTAGTTTTACAAAGGCAGATTGGTCCCCAAGCAAGAATGGGTTTTTTAGGAAAGAGCTATTATCAATTTTGTTTCAGAGTTTAATCTATAAAACTAAATTCCTTCCCAGGGCTAGTTTGACCTACGGTACCAAGAATGAACAACGACAGTTTAGACGTTAGAAGGAAGATGAGGTTGATTAGATCTGATCTCTTTCACTGTCATAATTTCCTCAATTATAATTTTGCAAAGGCAGTTTCAGATCTTGCCTGTAATCCCAGCGATTCAGGATGCTGAGGCAGGAGGATGATGTGAGGTCAGGAATTCAAGGCTGCAATGAGCTATGACGGCACCACTGCACTCCAGCCTGGGTGACAGTAAGACCCCATCCCTAAAAATAAAAATAATTAAAATAAACATTTGGTTACAGAAATCTTCTGTGTTGATTGATTGTGGTGTAAGGATAGAAGGAAAACTTTTTTTTTTTCATTAGACCATTTTTTACAATGCCCTCTTAATTCCTA